CCACTAGGTGAAGGCTGGGCCAGTCTTAGCCAGCTCACTGCTAACTAGCCTGGGATAATTCTCACTGGATAATTCTGTCTCCACACAGTCTCAGTTCAAGTGTCACTTGCTCAGGGAGGACCCCTGGGAATACCCTTTGTGACGTGATATACACTAATGATCCTCCCCTACTTTTCCTCATTGCACTATCCCCACTTGAACAGTCATTGTTTATCTGTTGTGGGTCCCTGTCACTAGAAGTTTATGTACACTGCTATATCCCCAAGGCTTGACACTTAGTAGGTGCTCAATTAATATTTGTGGAAAGAATGTTGATGGAATTCCACACACACATTTACTTTGAAAACTGTTAACACTTTTAAAAGTTTATGACAAGTCACAAAGAATTTATTATTATGAAGGGTTTTGGGGGATTCAAAAATGACAGAATATGGCCTCCAGGAGAGTCACGTGGGAAAATACCAGAACTTTGCATTTCTCGGCTGTAACAGTAATATCAATGTTAATTATTACAAATCGTTACTACCTTACCCCATAAAAACTTGCGGCACCTTCCCCTGTGCTTAGCAATGCTATAACTCAGCAACATATCTATGGAATGAAGGAAGTGTTTTGGGTCAATTACTCTTGGCATTGGAAGGAACTATAGAGGTCAACTTTATTCACTGCAAGCCTCTGCTCATAGGACTTTCTTGCAATGGACTCAATTCCTCTTCCATGTAACAATTCAATACCCAGATTCTCTAAATATTCCCCTAGGACATATTACACACCCTGGATCTTCCATAATGCTCTCTGGGGCCTCCACCTTTAGTGTGTCAGGGTTCCTCCTAAAATGTGGCATCCAGAATGAAACACAGTACTCCACAGAGTACTGAGGACGGGGGACCCCCACATCCCTCCATCTGGATATCCTCGGCTTGTGCTAAGCTCAAAAACAGGCAAAACCCAAACATTACTCCATACAACCATTTACATTTACGCCTATCTAAAGACAGACTTTTCATATATTTTAGTTGATTTGATCTTGCTGGTTTTTAGCCCATTTCCTAGCAATTCTGCTACCTATGTGTTCATTAAAAAGATTCTCTGTCTTCCTTTGATTGTGAATTTTAGAATGTTAACTAAGAACAAGGTCATACCCAAATCCTCCCCACCTCCAGCACTTTGTGATTATATCTATTGTCTAATCACTACTATGTTGGTATGCCACTTTCATTAATACTATCTAGTTCCCAATTCTCTGCCTTTTTTAGGACTTTGTGAGAAAGATGTGCCTGATGACTTACTGAGATCAACAAATACTGCCTTCGTCGTACCCTTCATTTGGGCTTCAGTGACCTTGGCGATAAAGAGAATTGGACCAGTTTGTCATAATTTGTTTTTAGTCAGCACACACCAACCCTTAGTGATCATAACTTTCATGTTTTGTTTTCACAATGAATATATTTAATTCTTTGGCCTACAGTTTTGCTAGGGATTGTCCACAAGCCTCTGCTTCTGTGGTTTTATTACCCACTCCTATCTCCTTTTTGAAAATGAGACTATTTGTCTCCTGTCACCTGACATATCTACTTTTCGATGAGCTATCAAAGATTACTCACCATGGTCCCATAGTGACATCTGCATGGTATTTTAACAGCATGAACATTTAAATTTGGATTTAGTTGAAGCAACTAAGTATCGTCTGTCTATATCTTGGCAATAAGGTTGCTCTAAATTATCTCATAGGCTTTCAACATGTACAAGACTTCGTCCTCTGTGCTAAAGATATAGTTGTGCACATAGAGTTTGCAGTTAAATGGGGGAGACAGAAATACATAGGAAGTGGTCATAGAGTGTAAAAATCCCTAAGGGTGTTATGGGAACCCCCAGGTGGGGCAGGCAAATATGGGGCTGGTGGTGGCGGCACATGATCAGATTTGTATTTTAGAAAGGTCATGCTCACCGTACTTGAGAATGTGGCTTCTTTTCAAACTGGAGTGTGCATAGGAGTCACCTAGAAATCCTGGCACATGATCAGATTTGTATTTTAGAAAGGTCATGCTTGCCGTACTTGAGAATGTGGCTTCTTTTCAAACTGGAGTGTGCATAGGAGTCACCTAGAAATCCAACTAAAAGGCAGATTCTGACTCAATACAATTTGGGCACAAATTGGAAATTTGGGTATAGATGCAGACACAGGGAAAAAGCCATGTGAAGCTTAGAGGCTTACAGTTATGCTGCTCAAACCAATTAACTACCAGAAGCAAAGAGAAAGATCTGAGACAGACAGATCCTTTCTTGGCAACTTCAGAGGGAGCACAGATCTACTGGCACCTTAACTTCAAACCTTTGACCTCCAGAACTGTGAGACAATAAACTTCTGTTTTTCTAAGCCACCAGTTTGTTGTACATTGTTAAAGCACCCATAGCAAGCTAGTACACTGGTCTGCATCTTCAAAGTAACTTTCAGGTCTGACATGCTATTCCAACTTCAACACATGTCTTACAGGAAATCTGAGCTAAATGTGGTTACACTGGAAGATTTCTGATTTTCCATCCATTACCGATTTGTGATTTTCTTTTAATTCAGATTTTCCTTTTGGAGACTTCTTTCCTTTTTGATGATTAATTATGCTTCTTATGTAGGTTTTTACTAATGTATTCAACTGATTCAACCCAAAGAAAACATCCTCTTGAGGCCCCAGCTTAAGGGTGTAAAAACTTTGAGGGAGACAGATTCTGGGACATACATGGCATGCCAGTGGTAGGTCTCTCCTTACCTCAGCAACAAGAAGCCTTTGGGGAATTATTTATTTTTGAACCATACGAGAATATTTTAGCAAAGCATGTTTATTGTCCTATGTCATCCTAGCAACAGTAGCGCCAAGACTATATGAAACAGACAGAAACAAACAAGCAAACAAAACAGAAATTTGTCTTACTATAAAAAAAATACCATTCTTTACAGTGTTATAGGAAAGATAGATCTGTGTCTTTTATTTCACAATTTAGCTGACTGATTGTACTCCTTTTGTTTCCAGGTTCCCGAAGTTTGAAAAAGAAAGGGGCAAAGACACCTTCTCCTAAACAAGGGAACTTTTTCTCTATTTTAAAAATACAAGGATCCCACTCCCCTTTCCTTTTAGGAACATATTAAACACTACCCTGTAGTGGCCAGCTCCCCACAAAATAAAATAAAATAAAATAAAGTAAACTTGATACCCCTGGAAAAAGCTAGGGGTTTGGGAGACAAGGGAACTTTTTCTCTATTTTAAAAATACAAGGATCCCACTCCCCTTTCCTTTTAGGAACATATTAAACACTACCCTGTAGTGGTCAGCTCCCCACAAAATAAAATAAAATAAAATAAAATAAAGTAAACTTGATACCCCTGGAAAAAGCTAGGGGTTTGGGATAGGATGAGGTTAAACAACCTTAGGATGAAATGGAATTAGCAGTAGAGCAGTAATGTTGTATACCAGCTAGAGGGGGATCTGAGCCAGGTGACCAAACAAATCCTATTTACTTTTCCTGACAGTGACAGGAATTTGACAGATCTTGAAATAATCATTTCCCTTATCACAGTGTTTTAGTTTCCTCATCTACAGAACAAAGATAACTTGTCTTCTAGGCATAGCATATAAAGGGGATGACAAGCATTTCATAGAAAGGGGTTTAGTTTTTCACTAAACATTTTATATCCGTGGAAGGACATGCTTCAATAATAGCAGAACCATTTATTAAGCACGTTGAATATGTTAGGCTCTGGAAAGGTGCTTTGCATGCTTTTTCTCATTTAATCCTACAAAACCTCTACTATATAGGTGTTTTATCCCTGCTTTGTAGATGTAGAATCTGAGGCCAGAGATGTTAATTCACTTTCCCAATATCAAACATCCAGGAAGAAATAGAGCTAGGATTCTCATCTTCAGCTCTGTAGGGATCCCAAATGCACGAATCATGTGCTGTAAAGCTCACTTTCTGCACCATGGCAGACATTACTAATTGATTGTAGCATTCACTGTGGGGTCTCTCTGGGCTGACAATACCGATGGCGGGGAGATAAAACCAATTTGCCTTGCTAAAGCTTTTTAAAAGCCTATCTAACAATGGCCCTGATGACCTGCATTCAGAGACTCTGATTCAGTAGGTCTTGAGTTAGACCCACAGTCTTTATTTCTAAGGACTCTTCAGGTTATTTTGATGATAGTCAGGTTTAGTAACCATTGCTTTTTGCACCTATGTTCAATAACACCATATCTTTTTTATTTTTCTATTTTTTTAGTTTGTGGATTTCTGAAATAGAGGAAAGAGCTAAGGAAATAATCTTAGGAGGAAAAGGCAACTACTGACTAGCTACTATTTATGGAATGCCAACTATTAGAAAGGCAGGTCTAGTATATTTCTTTTGTGAGCCACAAAACTCTGTAAGGAAGTCATTCCCTTCTGTGCCAAACATGTAGCGAACTTTAGAAATAGATGAGGGTCCTCCCTCAAATGTGACTGTGGTGAGTTTGGAAGGGAAGACATCTTAGCTATGATCTGTGAAGCCCCTGCTTAAAGGAGTATCAAGTACAAACAAGAGTAAGTGAAAACCTTACAATTTATGATTCATTATTAATCCCACTCCTTTAATTCACAACAAATTGACTAACAACCTAACAACCCCCACCCCATTACTACGTTTGGTAGATTACAAGCCAGATGAGAAAAAGCAGCAATACTCCATTAATATTTATAAACGTCACAATACTCATATTTCCCATCTATTTGGAAAATCAGCCCAAGTAATTAAGGAGTATGGGGAATTATAAAGATGAAAAATATCAGGAAAACAGTGTGCATGGAAGTTAACAACACTATTTTACTTCTACCGTTACATCCTAATGACCTAACTTTCCACGGATGGCATTTTTTAAATTTAAATTTTTGGGTTTTAAAAAAAAGCAAAACAAAGCAAACAAAACTTCATTATCATGCAAGCAACACAGATATTTTTCAAACAGCAAACTTACGTCTTTGGCTTCTCCACAAGGTATTGAAAGTGTTTACTTCCAATGATTTTCACCACGATCTCAGGCATTGCATCTGATCCACGGGGAGCCTTCCCAACTGAAGACATGATTCTTCTCAAAATCCCTTCAAATCCTTGGGATGGAAAATAAATCTTTTTTTTTTTTTTTGCTTTTCCACTAGGCAACAGCAGCATATTGTCCACAACAACAACAACAACAGTAATAATACCAGGACAAATGCTTAGCCTGCATTATCTCACTTAACACTCCTAATAAAGGTGTGAGATACTTTTTAAATTACTATTGCCATTTTTGTTTTACGGTTGAGGGAACAGGCATAACGTAGCCATGTAATTTACTCAACATCACCTAACCAGTAATTAGCAGAGGTGGTAATCTCACCTAAGAGGTCTACAAAGCAGATATCCTAAGTCATTAGGAGACTCTACCTTCCTGTACTATAAGACATCAGTGGGATTGTTGTGGAGTCAGAGAGGAAACCAGGGCTTTAGTGAGACATATGAAGATTCCATATGAATGATACTCAGTTTCCCTATTTATAAAATCAGGATAATTCCAGTTCTGCTCTCAGGAACTTGGGTTGAATCCAAGGAGATAATGTATATCTAAAGAAGTACTGTACATAGGAAAGAGGGGTTTTGGTTGGTTATCTGTTTCCACAACAAACCAATGAATCTGAAATCGAGATCCTGCACGACATAAGTACTGGGTGTTTAAACAGGCCTGATGCGAGGGAAACGTAGAATTCTGTTTAGTAAACCTGGCCACAGGCTGACCACTCCTTTTTAGAGTCCCTAAAAGACTGAGTCATTTGAATGCAAACGCTTGCTTTACAAATTGGGAAACCAAGGCCCAGAGAGGGTGTATATTTGACCAAGGTCACATAGAGAGATTGGAGCAGAGCTGTTTCCAGTACTCTGGTTAGATAGTTAGATGGGGATCCCAAGACCCCAGCTGCAGCTAGTGTGTGGGCTGTGCTAAAGACCTGCACTGCGAGGGTAGTCCCTCAGCCAGCGGAACCTGCATCCTCTTCGAAACTGGAAACTTCAAGACTCAAAATTGTGACTATCAAGTACCTTTCCTGCCCAGCAGCTGCGCGTCAGCCCTGAGACCTTTCCCGAGAGAGAACAGAGGGCGGCCTTACCGCTAAGGCGGAGTTCCCCACGCTGGCAGCTCAGAGGTGCGCGCTCCGTGCTTCTCCTGGAGGAAGGCGACACGCGGAGGCCAGGGGCCCAGGGATGGGGCGCGGAGATTGGAGCCCAGGAGTCCGGCCAATCACAGGGCCCGGCGCGCGGGCGGAGGCTGCCCCCGCCCTGGTCGCTAAGGACGCTGAAGGCTGTTGCTGGGCGGGGACCGGGCTTCCGTCCACCTCTGGGAGGCAGTGGGTCCTCCTGCGCCCGGTGCCCAGGATGAGGCTGCAGATAGGTGAAAAGCCTGGGTGTTCTCAAACCTGTGCCTTCGCGGTTCTAAAGATTTGCGAGCGTCCTTCTAGAAGCCCATCTCGCTCACCTGTGTGGTCACGCTTGTCCTGCGCTTTCCCTTGGGCTTTTATTTCCCTTTGTGAGATCTGCACATAGTTGGGATCCTTACACCCATAGGTTCAAATCCAGACTTCTGCACTGTATGTCTTTGTGTAAATCCCCTCTTTTCCTTGAGATTTCGTTTCCTCATCTGTAAAATGGGGCAAAATAAGAACACGGAGCTAAAGGTGAGTTGGCGATGATATTAAATAAGAATATCATGACAATAATAATTTTGAGTGCCATCCATATGCCAGATCCCTTATTTGAACTGGATAGCTATTGCCTTACAAGTTAACAATTATCAACAAAATGATTTTGTTTCTGTTTTAAAGAGCAAAGAAATGAGGCTTGGGGTGTTGAGAAGTTATTCAGATCCCCACAGAGGCAAATGACAGAGCTAATATTTGAATAGAGATCTGCATATCCCAAATTTTCATGCACTTTTTTATTATGCTGAAAGACTTCAGCAAATGTGGATAAAGGCATTATAAATCAATTCCAAAATGTTATAATTATTTGCTGCTGTGGTAGCAGCAGCAGCCCCAGTGTCTGTACACCCTGCCTCCAGCCTTCTAGCTGTGCTGAGTTTTGTAGTTTACCATATCGTCTTCTGGCACAAGGATCAGGAGATGGATGACATACTCAGCTCCCCTCCAAGGGCTCACTCTCTAATAGGTGAGACACGTGGGCACATTCTATGATATACAATGTGGCATGGGAACAGAAGAGGGGCCCAGGTTCTTCTTACTTCAGCCCAGCGTTCGCATTGCTGCCGGATCAGTCTTTCCAAGCCCCAGCTCTGACAAGCCCCTCCTCTACTCAAATGTTCCAAAGGTCTCATCAGCCATGGAAGATGTCCATGGTTACGCGGCCTTTCAAGTTTTGGCCTGGATAGGCCTCTAGCTTGATGGCCCCTCCCCTCCGGACTTGCTATGCTCCATCCAACCAGTCTACTCACTGGCCTGAATCTGCCTTTCATTTCCCTGCCTCTGTGGCTATGTTCATTCTGTTCCCTCTGTCTACAATACCGTTCCATTTCCTCATTTTTTCAGCCTGTTTATCCATTCTTGAAGTTCCATCTCAAATGGTTTAGAGTATGCACTTGGGAATCAGACATCTTGAGTTCAAATCCTAACTCTGCTAATTCAATGTGAGCTTGGGCAGGTCATTTGACATCTGCGTGCCTTTGTTTCCTCTTCTATACAATGAGAACAACTTTTTGTGAAGATTGAGTTATGTAAGTAAGGCACTTAGAATATTGCCTGATATATAACGGGCAATATAAATGTTTGTTGTTTTCATTATCTGTCAAGAAGCCAAACTTTGGATCCCAGGGGCTGAAAGTGGTTTCTTTATCCTAAATATAATTTATTGTTTCTGTCTTAGTAAATATTTCTGTTTTTGCTTTAGAGTATGTCTATTTGTTTTCTTTGGTTGTCATCCCTCCTGGACTATGCCTGTGGAAGACTGAGTAATGGCTCCCTAAATATTCATGTCCTAATCCCCAAAACCTGTGAATATTACCTTCTATGGCTAAAGGGACTTTGCAGGTGTGATTAAGTTAAGTAAGTTTCTTGAGATGGGGAGATTATCCTGGATTATCCAGATGGGCCCTAAATGTAATCACAACTGTCCTTATAGGAGGGGGACAGAAGAGGATTTGACTACAGAAGAAGAAGCAGGAGATGTGACAATGGAAGTGAGAGGGTACAGTGATTTGAGGAAGGGGTCATTAGCCAAGGAATGCAGGTGGCCTCCAGAAGCTAGGAGAGGCAAGAAAACTGATTCTCCTCTAGAGCCTTTAGAAGGAACCAGCTCTGCTGATCCCTCGCTGTTAGCCCACTGAGACTGATTTTAGACATCTGGCCTCCATAGCTGTAAGTGAATAAATTTGTGTGGTTATGAACCACAAAGTGTGTGGTAATTTATTACAGTAGCCTAGAAAATATTAATGCCATACTGAGAGGCTCTCTTTTCTTTTTCTTCTCTGTATTTCTTAAATACCCAGTATAGTGTCTAGATTACAGCAAGTGTTCTACAAAATTGTTTTTGACTCAATGAATGAAGGAGAACAGAACACAAATTAAACACTAAACTTCCTTTCTGTAAAAGACTTTAGTGAGCATGGTACTTATTGGAGTTTTGTCTGCTTAGCACATTTTCCTATCCTTCCCTCTTGTGAATAGAACTCTTCTTTGGGAACCTCTTTTCCAAGGAGTCCTTGTGGGGGCTGTCAACCATAGTGTCGTTTCCATCTCACTTCTTCGTAGAACTATCACACTCTAGGCCACACAGAGTTCTTATCAGTGACCAATACACAGACACTGGAGGAAAAGAAGGTCTCCTATCTGTTGGGGTTACTAGACTGTAAGAATAAGGTGTTGAGGCTTTTGGCAAGTATCTGTATCATAGTGTCGTTTCCATCTCACTTCTTCGTAGAACTATCACACTCTAGGCCAAACAGAGTTCTTATCAGTGACCAATACACAGACACTGGAGGAAAAGAAGGTCTTCTATCTGTTGGGGTTACTAGACTGTAAGAATAAGGTGTTGAGGCTTTTGGCAAGTATCTGTATTAACACATACTGCTGTTTTTTCAGAGAAGAGAAGAAAGACAGAAAACAGAGGGAAGGAAATCTGAAAATAGAGTGAGTGCAGAGAAGGAGAGAAAAGCAAAGAGCCTGGATCCAGCTATGCCTGATACTAGATCTAGAATTCTCAAACAAGAGTAATACATTCCCTTTGGTTAAGATATATTTGGACGGGCTTCATTAATCTTTACCCCAAGAGTTCTTACTAGTACAGAGACTCATATTTTAGGTTGTTAAAGTTTATGTATGGGGTACAGTTAATTAACTAAATGGCATTTTGAGTTTCTCTCTAAATTCTGTGATAAATCTTGAAGGAGTAAATTGATTTTGATAAAATCAGTTATTCTATTAAAGACTATTCTTTGACCTTATCTTGACTTTATAGGTTTTACAAGTGCCAACTTGAAACATAAAGGCACTGAAGGGAGGCTTTCTATTTAGTAGTTCTTATATTAATTACTTTGATGGCATTCAGATGAAATTTGATATGTTTTTCAGACACAAGGGAACCTCTGCTTTGCCACTTCCTAGGGAAGTAACCTTGAACAAATAATTTAACTTTTTTATCTGTAAGGTGGAGACAAACAATAATTACCCTGTAAGATTGTTATCAGGATTAGAGATAATGTACGTGGAGGGCCTAGACAAGTAATTGGTTTACAATAAATTATATTTTTGTTTATAACAATAGCAGGTTACATTTAGTACATATTTAGTATGTATCAGACATTGAGCTAAGAGACTCTTTTTATTCAACATCCCATTTAATCTTTGTAACAACCTTATGAAATAAGGATATTAATATCCTCATTTTTTTGCATTTTTACATTTTTTTCTATTATTTTGCTTTTTTTTAAAATCGTAACATCATTGATTATACCCATATTAGAGATAAGGAACCTGAGGCTTAGAGAAGATAATAACTGGCTTAAGTGAATGTGGCTAGGAAGAGTCAGAACTGCAATTGGAAATCCAGGTGTGTCTGAGTCCAGAAGTAGCCTTTATACCACTACTTCACATTTCCTCTGTGGATGTTAGTTAGCCATTGTTATTATAATTATTATTAATAGTGTTAATGTTTTTACTGGTGTTGTTTTAGGGGTCTAGGTCCCTTACGGAATGCATATTTTGTGACAATATTCTTAAGGAGAAGTGGCCTTCTCTTATCTGGAATTTTCTACTTCACACTCTGCTTTATGAAATGACAAAACCACGAAGCATCTCTCTAGTGGTTTATATTAAACAAGGCAAAACAAAAAGCTACGCAATAAATGTCTCCCTAAGATTAAATACTGTGGTTAAAACTGCCTTCCTTGGATTCAACAGCTTTAGATTATGAGTCACCAGAGAAAGATTCCACAGAAACGTCTCCATCCAATAGTCAGTGGGCTGTCCCCCCCCCAAAGATGAATAGCTGTAATAAGAGGACCACAGAATGCCCCCTCCGAAAACTTCATGATTTTACATTTACCATCAAACCTAGTAAGGAAGAGAGAAGAAAAATTGTCTCCAGTGTTTTGTTTTTGCCCATATAAGTCAAAGTAGAATGAGTTTATAAACAGGAAGCAATAAAGAACTGCTCTTTTGAACAGTTTAATCATAAATCTATAAAAATGAGGCATTTTGCAGGGAACTCCCTGTGCAAATTGAGAAGAGAAAAATACTAATGTTAAATTGAGCTATATGACATAGAATAGGGGGTATCACACTCGTTTTTTTCTCCAAGGGACATACTGGACCCAAGCCAATGATCTTTATGGCTGAGGGGGGACTTTATGTAAAAAGACAAGCAAGAATGAGCTGGTTTGAGAGTAGAATTAAATATGGTAAAGTTTCTTTCTTAAAATGCTCTCATGGCTCTGGAAAAACAAGACTATGTAAGGTACTGATTAGATGGACAGACTTTTGGCCTGTAGTAGTGTCCTAGGGCTGCTGTAACAAAGTACCACACAATGGGTGGATTAAACGACAGAAATTTATTGTTCTACAGTTCTGGAGAAGTATAAGATCGAGGTGTTGGCAGGGTTGGTTCTGTCAAAAGACAATAATGCATCACATTTAGTTTAAAGATCTTAATTGGCTTATATGTGCAATCATAGAATCA